CAATTTAAAATTCAGTTTTTAGCCTCTCAAATATGGAGATTTCTTGCTATTTATTTGCTTTGTAATTTATTAAGCTTATTATCTTTGGGCTTTAAACTGACAAAACAAGACACTCAAAGACATCACCTTGAATGGTTGGACACTAGAGTTACATTTTTCATACATATATGTGACTTTTAATGAACATAAACGTTGTAGGCAGACCATATATCCACTCTACAAAATAATAGTATTAATGTAATCAATCCTAAATTGCATTGCATTTGCAGCCCTAACATATATTCCATTTCAAGAGTAGTATCCATCCAAAACATTTGATGAGGTATTTTGGTGTGTTGGTCAGGACAGTTTATTACTGTATAACAACATTTTGGCTCTAACAACTTGCCATGTGTTCAAGTCTTCTTTGAACCTTTAATAGAGCACATGAATAATCCATTACATGAAAGGTACTCAATGTAAACCTGACATATGTTGCTACCCCATTAACTTTTAACAAGTGCTGCCATTATAGAACAGTATAGCAGCATGTTATAGTCTTACCCTCTGACCTTCATATAGTTAAGTGAAATACAGAATGAACAAAAGTAACTTTAGAGAGTAGTTGTTGTGTGAGACACTCACCTCACGGCAGTCTGCGGGGTGTGAGTGTGTGAGCTCTGCATCACTTTCAGCGGACTCCCGTCCAACACCACAGACATAGTTTGGTCTTTTAACATCAAAGAGTCACACCAAATCCTCCACTCGGCTGCGGGGCTTCGAGGGGGAAAGATTGTGACAGATGTGTGTTGTTTTCTCTGTACAATTTCAGGACAATAATACTGGAAAGGGCGCTCCGAAGCCGGAAATTGGGACTTCTTCGTTGCTACAAAATGTAAACTGACATTAACAGTTGACGTCACTGGCGACATCTAGTGGTAGTGTTTTTTATTTATTGAGCAAGTGACGGTATTTATTTCATAGATAGGCGTGTAGACTCTAGCGCGTTTTGAATATAGTCAGCTGCTTGAAATTGATAACAAATCAGTAAAAGATAATGGAGACCTTTTGATCTTTCTGCAGAGTTTCATGATGAGCGTGCAAATATGGGATTGGTTTTTTAAATGTATTATTATGATAATTAGTAGGGGAGAGTGGGGTAAATTGAGCCATTTTTTTAGTTATGCTGTCCTCTAAGGAGCCAGTGGTTCCCAACCTGGGGGGCGCCAAAGATCGCAGGGGGGGCGCCAGGCCTCAGATGATTTGAGGCCAAATATCATTTAGACTTTTTATTTTATTTATTTGTTTACATACAATTGTAAAGCAATACATGATTGTCACTAAAAGCCTTGTCTCTACATTACAATAATAATAATAAACATTGATTAATTAATTTGAATAACAATTCAGGCATAAAAAGACATAAATGTATAATTATTTCTTTAATAGAAATGTTTCTTCTGCCCGTAAAGTGTCCAAACCGGGCTTTTCTGGATAAGCGCATTTTTAAAACATTGTCCATGCCGGTTTCAGTTGGATTATTTGTTACAGTTGCTGCGATCAGATCGGTCTCTTTTGAATCCACATAAACACATCGGCAAAATCCGGTTTACTTTGAGCATGTGTTTTAAACAGTTTAATCCCTTTGTGAATTGTTTCCACTTCCGCGCCGTCATTTAATTTCTTCATACAGTGGGAATCCAAATGAATTAATCATGAGTCCAATAACAATCAAAGTCACTCCAATAGTGCTCCTTCATTACGCTTTCATCCTCCTTTAACAAAATACTTCACATTCATCTAGTTTGTGACAGTAGTTGTAGCATTTTTGAGACTTTTAAACTTGAATTAAAGCTGATGCCTGGTTGCCAGCCTGGCAACCACTTTTAAAAGTTAGCGTTGAGCCCTGGAATTGATTAATGTAATTTGTGTTACACTTATTAACTATACTTTATGGTTTAGGACTTAAATACAAATATTTAAATAAAAAGAACATTTTTGTATTGTGTCTAAGAAGGACTTGAATAATGGTTTGGAGTGTACTTGTATTTTACTTGAATATTTCCATTCTATGCTAATTTTTATTTATTTGTATTGTATTTGCTTAATTTTAGTGAATATTCTTCAAGAAACTTTTTATTTTTTAAATTATGTTTTATGGCCCGACAGTTTTTTTTTTACATAGGCTACATCCCAAAATGTTCTATCATGTTGGTTATTCGAAACCACATATCACATTTTGACTGGCTGCATTATCCACTAGCTATACAACAAATTGAGCATGCAGGATTGATTTGAAATCATTGGGTCACATTACCTTTTTCTGTTTGTCTCTCAGAGGTGTCGCCCTTTGGCTGGCAAGGACACAACATCTCTCAAAACATGAAAACTCGCAAAGATTATAAAGGAAATTAAAACATAGTAGGGTTAGAATTAGAGTTACAAGGGGACAACAACAGATTGATAAAGAACTCATTAAAGCGAGTGACTATATATTTTTTAATCCTGTATGTATTCCTGTATTTATGCATTTATTTATTTTTTACTCATGTCATGTTCTGTCCTCCATACCTGGCTGCTCGTCGTGTGCATAAAGGTACAAATTCACTCAAAATCCCATCACAGCAAGACCTATAGTTGGGCATTCATTGTCTTACAAACACATTGGTGTTCCAGAGATCTATGTGTTGGTTTTCCATGCAGGTGCTCAAGGTTCAAAACCCAGTGGAGAGACATCTTTTGTCTTCTGCTATGCCTATGTTAAATCTGGAAAATGGTCCCCATTAGTGACATTTTGATTGCAATACTTTTACTTGTAACAGAGTATCATTACATTCTGGTAATTTTCTCTTAAGTACAAGATCTGAGTACTCTGTTAGAATGAACCGAATGTCAGTTAAAGAAAAATCAAATGGAAAATAATTGTATTAGAATAATACAAATATTTCGATAATTAAATTAAGTGTAAATGTTAATAATAATACAAAACGAATAAGAATAGGGGATAAGGGGGTAAGTTGAGCCAGTGGGTAAGTTGAACCACCCCCTGTAACCAGGCAACGCCTTATAGTTGTAATCAAGTGACCAGAGATTTTGCAAGCTCCACGCATTTCTCATTGCCTGTGAAAGAGAGATACTAATTTTTACAAAAAAAACGTTTTTTGCTTGTCAAAGTACATTTTCTAGATGTGAGCTATATCGGCTGTCATGTCAAAAAAAAAGTATCCAGGTTTAAACACATATTGTATGTGTTGATGTGTTTGCAGCGTATTAAACCATGTGAATCATTAAGCTAAAGATGACTCTGAATTTTAATGCTAGGCTATTTTTTCTAAAATGGTGGCTATGGGGTAAAGTGGGCCTTGGGGTAAGTGAGCCAGTTTTTCAATGGAGAAATTAATGAAAGTAGGTCAAGTTGATAAGAGCTCATTGTAGGCTACATTTAAAGTTGAATTTACCCTGTGTTTGATTGGTAAGATGTATGAAATTGTATCACCATTTGTATGATTACTTTTCCTTTTAACATGTTAAAAAAAAATCAATCAATTCAATCGAAATTTATATTAAAACTATTTGAAAAACTAAGCTTGTATTTGGTTTGTTATTTATTGTTTATAATTACCTATAATATTTGTTGTAGGTATGCCCAGGTTTGAACAGGTATGCCCAGGTTTGAACCGTGGTTCAATTTATCCCCTGACCTGGATCAACTTACCCCTACACTAGTAAACTTGTCCACCCTCAATTGCTGGTATACAAAATACCAGTGCGGTTGTTCTTCACAGATCCCTCACAAAGGAATTGAGCAAGTCACTAGTTTCTTGGTCATCCATTGTCTTCCTTTCAAATGTGGGTTTTCTTGACCTTTGTGCTGACCCCCACCATAGATCCATTGGCCCTTCAGCATTGAAGTCTTGGATTGGCCAGACTAATACATTTCGAATGTTAAATTATTAATTATTAATGCTGTAAATTACCTTTAATATGTCTAACTATATTTAAAATGTGTTACCTTTTTATAGAAGTGATTATATTTGTATGCCAATATTTTTCTATGGTAAAGTTTCGTTTAGAACTTTTATTTTGGTAGTAATAAGATCGGGACTCTTATTTTGAAGGAACTTTTACCGGAAGTGAATGCACAACGAAGCAGAATTCAATTCAAAACCTTTATTTATCCAGGTAAAATCCCATTGAGATCAATGATCTCTTTTTCAAGGGAGACCTGCAGCAGTAGGTTCCACAAGAAGACATAAACAACAGAACAACAAAAGGACATCATACAGCAAAATGTACAGGGATTACAATTTACATATTTAACCACAAGTACAGGTACCAACAGCATCTGATTTTGTAGCATCCAACCGAGCTTTAAAAACATGTAGTGGTCCTAGCTTGGTAATTTTCCATTCTTTTTGCAGACTGTTCCATGTTAGTGGAGCTGCACATCTAAAAGCTTTCTTCCCTAAGACAGTCCTAGCACCAGAATCAGAGCAGAATGTACATTTGCCTCCCAAGACTTTACACATTTGCTCTTTGCTTTTCGTTCGGGTTCACCTTGCGCTTTATTAGTTGAATCACTTTGAACATTCGTTTGAGATGTTGACGGGTTGGCCGAACGTTTCACCCCATAGTCAAACAACTTAATTTGCTTAATTAAATATCAGTCTTAATACAACAAATAATTAACATTTATCTATTTTTGGGGTGCACATTTTGCTGTTTGCTGTTCTTATTTATTTATGTTAGAAACTGGTTGCCACTGATGGCAACCAAAGGCCAAGAAGTGATTTTTTAGGACAGAGCAACTCAAAATGAATTGTTTTCATCGGGGAACCGATCTTGAAATTGTACTTAGCCTTCTTAAATATGCTTAATTACTTCCCACCTCTGGTACTGGCAACGGTAAATAAACATTCTCCAATTATACAAATATATTTATTTATTATTATTTATCACTTATTATGTAGTGATGTAGTGTTTTTGTTTTTGTTTGAAGCTAGCAGCTTTTATTTTGAAGGTCATAAGCTCACAGCACCAACCAGCTGATCTTCTAACAGCTGAGCTCTGCTTTCAGCGTCGGTTTGGTTCGGACGTCGCCCCTTACATTTAAAGGTAAGAGCACTGTCTTTCAGTAAAATAATATTCACAAAGTGTACTGTCATGTGATGACAGTACACTTCACGTGATGCTGTGTTTGAAATCTGATGTCTGCACAGTGTGGTTTGTATGATGTAAATATGGACCGAGTAGCTGTCGGCTGCCTCGCTGTGTCATGGCTTATTTTGGTTTGCCATAATGTAAAAGAGAAACCGAATGACCCCCTCTTCCTCTTATTACAGTGACATGATTTTTGTTCAAGCGTTAACATCGAAAAAGACGGGGGGGGGGGGGGGGGGGACACACTTTTCCCTCATGGCAAAACAAAAAAATGGTCCATATAAGCTCGTCGGTTTATTATAAAGTTAAAACTATGACAGTATAAAACAACAGTTCCTCAATCATTTTTATGAATGTTATATTAACCTTAACAGATATGTTGATTTAACATTATAATTGTTTTGGAGGCTGTATGGTGTATGGTGCTGTTGTAGTGAATGACGTGTCACTGGGTGTGTGTAGCTGTGTTTATGTATGCACCACAAACACCAAGGTATGTGTAAACCTACCTGGCAATAAATCAGTTTCTGATTCTGATACATTCAACTGCATCTCAAACTCAGCCTCCAATTTCCAAAATGATGAACAACTGAAAAAGAAGATGCCTCTTTAAAAAGTTTCCTATTTTTTTTTAATTCTAACCTTCACAAAGATAGGATTTTACCATAAGACTTGTTTTTGACTGTAGTTTTATCTTGGTCATTTGTGAATATAAATGTATATTTAATTGAACACATTATCTATTGATATATTATATTATATTATGCAGCATTAAATTCATCAAAATGTTAAATGTGAGTGCATTATTAATATTACATTTACTCAAGTATTGTACTTAAGTACGATTTTAGGATACTTTACGTAAGTATTTCTATGTTATGCTACTTTGAACTTCTACTCCACTACAATTTGGAAACCAATATTGTACTTTTTACCCTGCTAGATTAATTTGACAACATGTGTTACTAGTTACTTAACAGATTAGGATTATTCGCAAATATAAATAAACTAAGAAATAAACTATCCTATAGAGTTATAGGTAAAATATCCAGCAGTTGTATATCGAGTGATCAAAAGTAGCTCCACTCTTACAATGTTGTGATGAACACATTATTGCAAAAATAATAATAATCCAGTAATTTCATATATATTATTCTTAAATGGGACATTACGCACAATAAGTACTTTTACTTTTGGAAATGTAAGTGCTTTTATATGGCAATACTTTTGTAATTATGAATGAAGTTGAAGATGTAACAGAGTATTTTTACAGTTTTACATAAGTAAAGGAGTACTTCTTCCACCACTGGCTCTATGCATAGAACAATTTCCCTTTTGAGCTAACAAACAACATTTGTAACAAACAATCAGAAAACAGAGGTACATTTTCTCTAAGGGGAGAATGAAGCAGTACATGGTTTTACTTTTTGATATCTAATGTTGTATGCCACTATTTGGACTATAGAATAATTTGTCCTACAGGTGCTGCAAGTCACCAAAGAACACAAAGGAGTGGAAACCAGGTGAAATAAACGCTGACATGGCGCCAACACTGGTAAGGAAATAATCACTTAATTAAAAAAAATTAAATTAAACCATAGTCGGTTTTTTTAAATGTGTTTTGTGTTCTTTTATGCAAGGATGTGTCATTATTATCGTGTTATAGTAGCCTATACTTATCTTATCTTAGTTTAACACAGAGGGTCATTTCACAATGAACCGCAGTTGTTGCCAAACAAAGTCTGTTGCAAAGTCAAACATTTTTTCTGTCTGTCTTAATTCAAGTATGATGTAAAACCAGAGGTCGGGGATTTGATTGAGATCTACAGGGGAACCTATCAGCACTGGGCTGTGTATGTGGGCGATGGCTTCATTGTCCACTTGGCACCGCCTTGTGAGTCCCCTACACACACACACACACACACACACACACACACACACACACACACACACACACACACACACACACACACACACACACACACACACACACACACACACACTCACTGTCACAAACAACACCCTAATGTACTGACACATTACATTTATTAGACCAGAATAAAAAAGAAGATAATTATTTGTTTGAAGTTGTTTATAATTCCTAAAAACAAAATATCTTGCAGTATTAACTGCCCACATAATCACATCGGTTCCTCTCTCTTTTTCTTTCTTTTTGTTTGTTCATAGCTGAGGTTGCGGGGGCCGGTGCCAGCAGTATCATGTCTGTTCTCTATGAGAAGGCCTTTGTGAAGAAAGAGGATCTGTGGGATGTGGTGGGAACCAACGAGTGGAAAATCAACAACAGCCTGGATGAGGAGTGCGAGCCCCGCCCGGCAGAGGTCATTGTGAGGGACGCCTGTGCGATGGTCGGTAAAGAGCTGCCATACTGCGTCTTCAGAGGGAACTGTGAGCACTTTGCCACCGAGCTGCGCTACGGAAAAGCAGAGTCCCGGCAGGTCGGTTTAGACTCTTTTTTTTTTAAGGGGGGGCTGGAGTAAAAACAATTACCATTGTAAACCAAACATGTGCAACAAAAATATTCAAATAAATCATAAACTGCAGAAGTAATATAGTAATAAATGCAACAAAACCTACTTTTCCTGAAAGACAGACCATTAACAGGCAGTCAACTGTCTTGATTACACTGACAAAAGCATTTTTCAGCTGTCTCTGGTCTTAAGTCCTAGGGTGTAACCTCACTGTTGATCTTATCTGTGTTGAGGAAGTCACCCCCGGCAAAAAAACATACCATATTTCAAATCTAAAGGCCAACCATTGACATTGAAATATATTTTTAAAAGTTAAACTAAATGTATAAATGACTAACTAACATGTGTCTGTTGTTTCCCTGTGCAGGTGCGTAAGGCAGGACAAACCGTCATGGTGGCCGGTGCGGCTGCGTTTCTGGGTCTTGGTCTCGTGGCTCTGGCAGGAGCTTTTTTCGGAGGCGGCAAGAAGGAAAACAAGAACGAAAAGTGATACAAGTCCCAGGGCGCCTCTTCAGGGAAACATGAGAAGATCACCAGCAAAGCCTGCTTCCTATCATGATCACTCACAGGAGACACTGACTAATTGACATATTGTTAATAACCCAAAAACCTGGTTGATTTCTATCCTGCATAGTCATCTTTACCTCCATGTGTCCTGCATGCCTTCCCTGGTTTGACTGACAATGCAAAGCTTTTTGGGTGTGATCAAAGCCATGTATTTTTCATGGCATTCTAACATTTATAGCATACATGAGCACAACAAACTAATTTGAGTAATGAAGCAGCCAATACAGAATATGTTAACATGTTTTAAAATAAAATGAAGATTTTGAAGTTGAATGTATATGTTTCGGATTGTGAAGGATGTGAGAGGTTAGGGAGGTATTTTTCTATTTATTAAAAACAAAACATTGATATTTGTTAGTTGCTAATGAAGATATAATATACTTGAGTCAAACTTAGAAAAATACTATTTTACATAATCAATTAACACTAACTAAATTGTAATTACATTTTATGCAAGAGCACAGTCACTACGACCTTCTGTTCAGTGTAAAAACACTGATGAACTTTGGGTCCTATCGAGAGTAGACGTGTCGACTCAATTAATTCTACACATTTGCAGTTTTGTTATGAAATGAGTTCACAAGTTAACTGGAAATTCACAACACGTTGTCTTCCTCTTTTGAATAAAGAATAATTTGTGTGATTCTGGAAGTTCTTATTATGTTAAGAAAAGCCATTTAATATTACCTCTGAACAGTGGCGACTGGTCATTAGGGGCAGGTGGGGCACAGCCCCACCTAGTGTCAGCAGAAAGTATTAAAAGTAATGATTACAAAAAAATGCAAAAAATAAATTAAAAAAAATATAAAATATATTTTAAGATCATGTTTATTCATCTGATTCGTCTGTACATTGCTGTTTTAGTCTGTGTTCTTCTAATTAGTGTCTACAGCAGGGGTGCCCAACCTTTTTTGAACCTAGAGCTACTTTTAAAGTTGCCAGTCTGCTGAGATCTACCAGTCCAAATAGAGAGTTGTAGCCATTACTGACAGCCTGCTACCAGGTAAATACACACTTCTACTTGTATAAAACTGACCTTTGTACGATGAATACTTCATAAAATACTGCAGATCCTTTATCTTACCTCTTTCTAATCTACACACATACAAGTATTTAACTGAAGTTACACAACAGTGTTGTTGATACAGAGTTGGAGTTTATTCACACGTCACTACAGTGGGTAATGTTTTCAAGAAACATTGAACAGTGCTGCCACATATGACACAGGGAAACAAGAAAAGACTCTGAACCCTTTCTTTGCCATTATATAAAAATAGTGTTGCTACAAAAGTATACATTCGGCTTACTAATAAGAAAACTCAGATCTGAAGCTACACAGGAATTTGCTGCCAAAGTGCAATAAAAAAGACAAAATTAATAGAATCAAACTATTTTTTTGTTGAATATAAAAAGAAATGCCTTTAAAATAGGATGCACGCAACACTAGTTTCTTAACCTGAATTGATAATAGACTATAATCAATGTAAACAGAACAGATCTTAATGTTTGCATTCTTATACCATTTTGTACAATAATTATAATGAATAAGTTCAAACAAACTAAAACTTACAGCTGATTAATAACGGTATCTAACTTGAGTTTTTATGATATCAAAAACCTGTTGAAATGCTACTGTTATTTTTACTGTCCCCCAAAAGCGCGTCAGCAGCCTCCAGGAATGCTTCTTTCACAACTTCGCCGTCTTTAAAAGACTTCATGTGTTTCGCAAGAACGTGACTGACACGATAAGATGCTCTGTTAGCAGCCTTGCTCTTGTTGTTGGGCCTGGTGAAAATGGACTGCTGTGCATTTAGCTGTCCTTTCAGGCCCCTCCCCTTTTGGAGCGTAGGGCAGAATTAGGAGGGAATTCCGTCTCGTAGCGTTTGTGCACTGTTTTGAAATGCCGCTCCTAAATTACCCTTCTTCGATAAAGCCACGCTCGCATTGCAGATGAGAGACAGATGGACTTTGAATTGGAATAGATACAAAAATAATCATCCTCCCACTCGGAGTGAAAATGATATATTTTTGGCTTTTTTGCTTCTGCCATAATTGCGGTCTTGTGTGTGTGCTGACTGTCACTCCTGTTGACACGGTCGGACAACAACGTCAGCGAAATTATAGTGCCCACTGCCCACCAGCCACGCCCCGACACATGGGGTCATGCCGGCCAATCACAAAGCTTTGGTGCGTTCAAGTGCATTATTCTGGCACAGGAACATTATGTTACAGGACATTAACGATAAAACAGAATGTTGTTGTTCTATTTTTAGACACATCTCGCGATCGACTGGGAATCTCCTCGCGATCGACCGGTCGATCGCGATCGACTGGTTGGGCATCCCTGGTCTACAGTGTGTGCCTATTGAGCTGTTTTGAGCCATGTGGGACAAAACCCGATCCTGGCCCTCCCTCTCCCTGTTTAAGTCAATGGTGACTGTAAAAACTCCACTGCGCATGCTCAGAGTATTGTCCTATTTAATGTGTGTGGCAAAAAAATAATGACCATAGGGGCATAGTGCTGCCATCCCCACCATACGTCATCTCACATAATTCAGAGCTGATTGGCTGTAAGTACGTGTGCCGCGAAAAGTGTGGTGTGTGAAGAGGAGGAGAGAGAGCTGCAGTGAGGCGTCCTAAAACCCGGAAGTAAGCTGCGCATGGCTTCCCTCCACAAAAAAGCAATGATATTTCTCCATAGGATTTTAGAAAATAGCTCCAAATAAGATCTGTGGGAAACACACCTGTTAGATAAATGCACGTTTTGTTCAGCCGGATAATATCCACATGTCTACCCTACTTTTATAATTTTCGAATCATAAATCTATTGATTAGATCAGATTTATGATAGACTTTTGAAACTACAAGAACATAAGGAGGACTTTTACAAAAAAGTAATAGAGATTTTTGTCCAGAAGGATAGGCAAATGGACTTCATCTTCATGTCAAGGTAAGACTGCAATTTGATTGAAAATGGGATCTTACTAAGAGAGAACAATTCAATATTTAAATGATACAATTACATTTTTTGGGTATCCTTTTGTTGAACTGTCTGTTTAAAATTAATTGAAGCATCAGACAAAAAAAGCTTTTGAAAATAATATTATATTTTGATTTAGGTCAAAATATAATATTTGTAAACCTGAAGAGTCAGAGCCTCACCAGCCATGAACCTCAGAAGCTTATATATAGACATCTAAGTTTCATCTAAGAGTCTCCCTCCGCAGCCGGGTGGTGTAGTTTTGGCACAATTCCGTTGTACAGACCGACGTTAACAGCAGCCCTGTCTGTGCACACGGAGACCGACTCTGTCATCCGGTGATCTAACCGCCTTCTGGAAAAGCTTCACAAGTACGTCGGTACGCAAATGCGCTTTGTGACACAATTGACGGTACGCATTTCAGATTACGCACATAACCTGCGTACCAGTTATATGTGCACCCCTGTACTACAGCAAAAGTATTCTCCGTCGGGACTTCCTGCAACAACACCACGCCGTTATCAAAGATGTTCTATTGAGAAGACGATCACTACGTGACAAAAGTTTTCAAAACCGTGGCTACTGAAATCCATTTTACTAACTGCTGTCTGTGCAATTTACTCCGCGAGTTGGCAGACTTTATTTTGCTTACTTTAACATCATTTTTCATGGTGGGGCTAAGCCATTTCTTGGTATGGGTGTAGCCTACCCCAGCGCTGCCACTGGTGGCACACGGAGCGGGCCATTCTGCACATGCGTTAAATGCGTTAAATATTTTAACGCAATTAATTCAAAAAATTAATTACCGCCGTTAACGCGATAATTTTGACAGCACTAGTTTTTACCCTTATTTACCTTGTTGGAGTCGGGAGGCCTGTTAACTTATTAAGTATTCAACCTAATATGGAGACCTCAACAACCTCTGGATAATCTTTATATAGTTTTTTTATTTTATTAGTCCAGGCATTAAGAAAACCGTTTCTGAGTTGCCTGTCTGCACCTCAACACAAACCAATAACTTTTATTTTGTGGTGCTTAGCTTAAAGTAAACATCACAAAACATTGGAGGGGAATGGATACTCAACATAAGTCTCAGTTATATTTTCTACTGAATAAATAACCCACATAGAGCTCTGTTGAATATATTGTAGTGGAGGCAGAAATCTCAGAGACTAACTCCCCTCATGTCATAAAGACTAACTGTTGTTTTAATTAAAATAAGAAACATACATTCATTTTACTCATATTTATTTTAAGAACAGCTCACATGCTACAAGATTCTCAGTAAATGTTGCATTCACACTTCTCAGTCTTCCTGAACTAATCACATATTCGTTACACAATAGCTCCAATGATGATTGTGTCTTTTCCGCATCATGTCTGGTACTTAGCAGTGAAACCTTCACATACCATTTCCAACAGAGATTACATATGGGGGAATGGTTTGATAAAAACACAGAATCTGTCAATGGGAAGACATTTCAGGTGGAAATGTTCTATTAAAATCTTCAGTTTTCAGATGTGATCCTACAGAGCAGATCTGGTTTGAAAAGAAAAAGGCACAAATAAAAGAGTATAAGGGAACGTTTAGGAAACCCCTTTACCATTACCAAACCAAATACTGTCAACAATGAGTGGTAGGTAAATCTTACTTCCTCAAATGATGCCTTCATGTTTTAGAAGATCTTAAAATCAGGATTATACAGATTCCTTCAAAACATTTCAAAATAAAACTTATTTAAGAAAACCTCCACCAGTGCACTACTAGGACACATAGGAAAAGACATGTAAACACGTTCATTGATTTCACTTTAAAACCAATTCACCAGCATCAATTTACCTAGTTATTTGCATCATGTGTCTGCAGTGTGAGACACATTGACAGATCTTAACCAGTCAAATGTGTCTCCGGTCAGGACAGTTCAGTTAAATACAGTGCTGGATGTGCAAAGTTAAATGAACATATTTGTAACTCTGTGCCATGACACATTTCACACACAAATACACAAATGCATGCAGGGATTGATTTTAAGCCTTACATCTGAGTTAGTTAGTGACAGCTGAACTAAAACATTCATATACACTGTATGTGTGTGTACACTGAAAAACATTCAGCATAATAATACAGGTTTGATTCTGTTATATATATATTTTGCAGTTATTAAAAAAAAAAAGTGCCATTTCCTCAAGTCATTATAAGACCAGATGCACATGTATATACATTTACTTTACAACTTCAACTTGATCTTTTTATGAATGACTGCTGCTCGGTGCCGCTTTTACACTTTTCTGTCTCTGTGTTTTTAAGCTGGGCCTTCCACAATAAAGCATTTATGAAGCGCTGGATTGTTGCTTCTTCACTCATCAGTAAGTTCCTGAATGAAGAAAGAGAATCCTAAAACGCAGTCCTCTGGCGGCTCGCACTCCTCTCCGGTCCTTTGTTTGTGGAATGTCAGGCATCCAGTCAATCTGGTCCCTGTTCCCTCCTCTCCATCCGCCCTCAAACCTCTCTGTGCAGCCCGGTCAGTCCAGCTTGCGTGCGCCCAGTTTGAGAGGACCTTTAGCAGCTTTGCGCTCCGCCCGTTTCACCTCCAGCTCCTTCCTCCTCTCCTCCCGTTTCTTCTTGGACAGCTCGGCTTTGCTGAGACCTGGTTCACAATGAA